CCCCAGTTCTGTCTGCCAGGGGAGGGGAGCTGCGGGCAGCGCTGGTGCCAAAACAGGCCCGTCCCCGCGCTCTGGGGAAACCCCTTTGCCTGCCTGAACTGTTGGGATCCCCCGGGCGCGCACTGGCAGCCTGCAGAGAGCTTTGCCGAGGGCTCCTGTGTGCTCAGCGTGGCCGTGGGCACTGCGGCCCTTTCCAGAGAAGGAAATGGGACTAAATTCAGGTAACAGCTGCATGAGAGGGCATCGTGGTCGCCCTCCAGTCTCCTCCAAGGCTGGAGACACCCGGCTCCGATTTGTTCGCTCCCGTGTGGTCGGACGCAGCCGTGCCGTGGTTCGCAAGCCGATCACAGCGCTGCAGCAGTGGCGCGGGAGCTGGCAGCCCTCTGAGCCTCCCTGGCTCCGGTAGCTTTCAGGACCTGGCACAGAAGCCAAGCTGAGCATCCAAAGATGCTGTTCCCTGATGGGGGTTTCCAAGGTAATTGCAAATCATCCCCTGTAGCGAAGTCACGGAAAGGTGCAGCAGCCCCAAGGACTCAGTGAATTGGGTCTCATGTCCCTGCCATGTGTCTGAGCTCCTGCAACCCCAGCTTCACTGCTGCCGGAACAGGTTCCAGGGGAGCCCCTGTCAGCGCCAGGCTGCTGCTGACACACCGCCTGGGGAGTGCCGCCCTGCGCTCCTCGAGCCACGCTGCCATACTGGCCAGCACGGTGCCTCATACTGGGGGAGCGACTCAGGCTGGGGCTGCCTCCTGGGGACTCAGCGGTCCAGAACGAGCCGCCGGGCACCCGTGGGTGCTCTGGCATGCAGTGGGAGTGCGGCCCAGCCTGGGCCAGCTCCTAGTGCAGGTTCTCCCTGCTGCCGTAGTTTCCACTGTGGTGAGACTGCTTGGAAGAGGCTCTCGTGCCACCTGCTGCTGATGGAATTGGGGGTTGCAGGGCGAGCTCCTTCCACCAGATACCGCTTAACCATGGAAACTCTTAACCATGGAAAAGCATGTCAGCACTCTGAATCCCCAGCAGCAAAGGCTGCACTGAATCAGCGTGGTTCTTTGATCTTGCTGTGTCCCATGGACCTACCTGAGCTGGAAAGAGAGATGT